AATGATAAAATATGTTTTTTAGTTCATTATTTTTGTACATGTTCTCACCTTCCTCTGATATAAATCCATGTCATTCCATATGTTTTGATCGGGATCATTTGCGGTCCAATATGGGGATAATTTCCGGTCCGGGATCATTTGCGGTTCAATCTGGGGATCATTTGCGGTCCGGGATCATTTGCGGTCCTGGGATCATTTGCGGACCCGTACAGTACAGATTTCCTTTATGTCAGAGTCTTCCTCAAACACAAATCCAAAATTCCTCTAGCGTAGTGTGGAAGGAAAACATGTGATGCGTTTTCAAAGTGAAAATGCCGTTATTAAATCTCTACGGCGTATTGCAATTGTGGACGGGATCTGAGTAGCCAGTGTTTTAGATATAGATTAAACTCGGAAAGGGCAAAAGCCAGGCGCGTTTTTAGATTTGCTCAGCTCCAGAACAAATGAAAACCACAAAAGACTTAAAGGAAGTCTAGTGGAGCATGAAGACTCTATTCTGATCAAGAGAGCTTCAAAGGAACCTAGTCTTAAGGAAATTCGTTTTTGTTGTTTTAGATATAGATGAGTGTGCCAACGCAATTCCACCTGATTGTGACGTCAATGCAGTGTGTAACAATACCCAGGGATCTTACGTCTGCACCTGCAAAGAGGGATTTTATAAAGATGGACAAAACTGCACTAGTAACTATAAAATGCATTTTTCTTTAAAAGTTTTCCAGGAAACAACTTTACCAGCGACACAACTAACGCCACTTTCCCAGGCAGCAAGACCCGCCCTGTTAATCCCTTTTACTCTCCTTTATCCGAGGGGATCTTCCTAATAAACCATCAGTTTTACGACTTTTCCTTTCCGTAGTGCTACATAGAAATTGGTCATACATCGATCATGTACAGCGATACAACTGCTCTGTTTAAGTGTGACTGAATTTTTTTTGAATTGGTTTCAGACTCGGTATAGCCCGTAAGATCATTGCAGCGAAGCTATCCTACCACACAAAGTTGTGATCCTGCAGAAAGAGTTTTACTGGGTTTTCCTGGGGTGGTCATGTACGACTGCAGGAGCACATTACTAGGAGCGTGCAACTACCCCATATTCCTGTTACGCCGTTTCCACAGACTGATGTATTTTTTGGTTGAACTTACCGCGAGTTTAGACCCCCCACAGGAACCTCTTTGACCAATCACAGGCAGGGACTTAATTTTTAACTGACTTAACCATTTTCATCGGAAGATTAAAAAGAAAATCCATCATTTTTTTTTCCTTACCGATGCGCGCACATGTAGACCGGAACTGACCTGTTTCGCGGGAAAAGAAGCCTAAAACTAGACCGGTCTGTAAAAACGCCGTGACATAGGCATCCTGACGACGATCAGTAGTTAAATTAGGTCAATTCTGTTGTTCGTTACTTTTACGCCCCATAACCATTTAGAAAACTAGAACATTTTTTACTAAATAGCTTTTTCTTTTTTTCCTACTTGTATGCAGGGTTTGTAGCTGGAGGTATGTTTATAATAAAAAGGAAAATTATTTGTAGGTTGGAATCTGAGTGATTGTAATGCCAAAGTAGCAAATATTAAAATATCAGGAGAGCATTTTCTCCTGACGAGGGGGGNAAGAACCCATAAGAGATACCAAGATGCTGTTTTGTGGGCGTGGCTTAATCTTTTTCACCCCTTAGAGGTAACAATTATAAAAAAACCCATATTAATGAGGTTTTGATATTCTTATGCTTATGCTTATGTCGTGGCCGTCCTCACTAGCGCATAAGCTCTTTTTATGCTTATGCTTAAGCTTATGCTTGCGTCGCTAGTGAGGACCAGGCTTAACTGACACTCATAATTTTCAATAGCGATCGATAAAGACGATTGCTTCAAATACCTCAACTCGTAAAGTTGATTTTTTTGTCTGGGCAATACCCTAAAGAGTACCACAGAAGCTCAAGAGGTTCCAAAAGCGCGTTTTTAACCCTTAAAAGGTACGACGAGCACCCCCGTCCTTTTTATATGGAAGTCTCCCCCGGGAATCGTCTATCCTTTTCATGGTCTATTCAGTAGTCATTTCAAAGCTGAAATTATCAGTTCTCTAGGAATCAATTCTACTGTTCTTGATTAATTAGAATCCATTGCTGGTGCAGTTGTATCTTTTAGCTGCCATTTTTGCAGTCATTTAAGCTAAATACTCTGACACTTAAATAAGGTTCATTCATTCATTCATTCATTCATCCTGACACAAAAACGCAACTTTTGTAAACGGAAGTTTCTTGTCTAATATACTAGAGTGTGCTTCACCGATGGGAATGGAAAATGGTAACATTTCAGACTCCGCATTAAAGGCTTCTAGTAAGGTACGTATCAGCGCATTAAATGGCAAAATAACAAAAAAGCCATACCATGCTGTACTCTATCGCACCATGTCACGTGATGCCAAGACCAAGAGTGACATGATATTATGTCATAAAAAATAACATGCCGTACCACGTTATACTGATACAGCGTTAATGAACTAGGTCTCGTATTAGTTAGCTAAGTGTTTTTTTGTTGTTGTTGTTTTTAATTTGGGAAACTTTTTTATTACTGACAATACAGGACTCTACAACAATGAAATACTCCCATTGCTTGCAGAACATCTAGTCCACAGGTTTACTAAATGTCAAATATTATTTTTTTAAATTATAAGTATAAATTGAAGATAAAAAAAATATTGAGGACTTCATCAAATGTTGTACTTACCGCTACAGGGCAAAAATGACTTAGGAGCAATAAATCGACTTGTGAAATGAAATGCACTTTATTATTTTTGGCAGTGGAGCGCTGCTACTGGACCAAGCAAAGGAAGGGTCGACCATCCCACCACCTACATAGCCGAGAAGAGTAACAAAGAGCAGTGGATCCAAGTGGATTTTGGGAAGGTCGCCAAAGTAACCAAAATTGGAACGCA